AAGCAAATCTGAAGGGCTCACATTCTCCCTTCCAGGGTGACTTTTCTATAAGAACTTGCTAATAGCAGAAGACATTTTGTCAGGCAGGATAGATTAGGATGTGCACTGGCATGGAAGTATTCAAGTGCTGTTTCATCTGTCTTTCTCTGTTGCTCCTCCTGTTTCAACTAGGAGGAGTTTCCTGTCTAAATGGATTGCAATGGCTATATCTGTATTTCAGATAAGCTTAAAACTTGTGTAAAACGTGGTGCTGCTAATTAGTCAAGACGTCGTTAGTCTGAGGAAATTAATTGTACATAAATAATGTGGAATTTCAGCTTCATGGCTCAAGAGATAAATTCAGAGTCTTTTCAGAATTGTCTGTCTTAAAAATAAAATAGCAGAAGAGGATTATTAAGTAAGCTCTTCAAAATTCCCATTACCCTGCTAATGAAGATTTAACACATAGACCAGAAGACATGGTTGATCTGTACTCCTTAAGGTCCTTACACCATAACAGCATTGGTGTATCCCTGGCTGCTCTCATCAGAGAGAAAAGCAATTGTGACTTTGAAGAAGAAACTTGTCAGCCTCCCAGAAGTACAATCCGTGCTCAGCAGTGGATGGGTAGTTAAGAGTGCTCTTCATTTTCTGGACTTCAAGGGAGTCATCTCTTGGGTGCATGCAAAGGCTGCTCTGACCCGGTGCTATTAGAGTAATTAAAGTTCACTTCAGGATTGATTGTCTCAAGGATTGCACATTACAAAGGTGAAGTTTGACTCGATTCCCTATAAAGGTGCCTGGTATTATTACTGTTATTACCTGATACAATTTTGCAGTAACAGTCAAAGAGCCAAGTCTGGGGGTTGAGACAATTTTTTTGTGATTGCAAAAGCATATGATTGTGTATTCTGTGCCTCAGTACAAACACCTAAGGGAATGTCATCCATCTCCTCAAAATCCCTGTAACTTAATACCATGATTGTCCTCTCCATCTTTTTTCCCGATATTCTTATTTCTCAATGAAAAGAAGGACTCTTCCATTTTTTTAATCAACTGCCTAGTACTTCATGCATTGGACAGAGTGTGAAGCCTACAGGAAATGTCACTAGATGAGAAGAACATAATTTCCACACCCAGCTTACACAGGTGCAAAGGACTGCACGGGCAGAAGGCCTTGGAGAGTTAGAGAAGGGGGTACACGTATCTCATTTCTCAAGGATGATAGGTTCTGTTTTGTCGTGTAAGTTTTGCATAGCTTCCAACCAACTAGTTTGATTGGTTGGTTATCACAAGTAGTAGTTTCTGGATTTTGTTAAATATAAAGAAATATATAGTGGTATAGCATTTTCAAACCTGTAAAAGATTGTCATTCTGCATTTCTTAGCAAAACCTCCAACTATCCTATAGAAGACCACGCCTAAAATAATAGTTTGTTTTGAAAGCACCACTCAGCTTTCTAGTAGAAAGCTTTCTGGAGTAGTTTGAAAAAATTAAAAATTATTTATATTTTATTTACCTTCATGGCCTAGGACTATTCTCTTTTTCTCTAATCTAAGGTATTGGCAGATATTAGTGCCAGAAATCTCATTCTATCCTCTCCTCTTAAGTTACAGAGTGATTTGTCCACCACAGCTATCACTGCAGTCAGCTAGAGTTTCTAGAGGTGATAAATATAAAAGGAACAAAATCTTGTAAGGTATCTATGAAACAAGGCTTTTTTGAGTATTTAAGACAAGCTTCCTTCTATTTTTGGAACAGAAATGTTTGGCTTCATTAAAAGCCAGAGGCGATGTTTGTATCAGCTGAGAGCCAAGGATATTAATGAGCAATTTTCTCATGTTTTTCTTGGAGTCTCACTGACAGTTGCAGGGTTCTAAACTAGCTGTAACTCTTACTTTCTCATCTTTTTTTTTTTTTTTTTTTTTTTTTACTTGAGATGATGGAATTTTTTAGTAGTGAATAAACATATCTTATGAAGGGTTGAATGAGTCTCCAAATATAACCAAGATTTTTCTGATAGTCTTATATTTTAGCTCAGTGGCAGAGATGGTGGCTAAGATCCCCTGTCACAGTTTAAAAATAACAAATAATGTGCTAAGATACATGTGGGAGCAGTTAACCAATTTATACACTCACTCTTCAATTTTTTTGTTGTTTAGCACTCCTTTTCCATCCTGGTTTTTAAGGATTAGCTATGGTGTTTTTATTGTCTTCATCTTTTTTGCCTTGAACTCCTCCCTCTCCCTATAAAATAGTCCCCATGCTTCATGCTTTACAACATTTTTCCCATCTATTTGTTTTTGAATTTGTCCTTATAAATTACCAAATTGCAGAAATATTATCTTTGCTCAACCTTAATCCATTTTTACCTTTTTTTTTTTTTTTCCCAGCCAATGTCAGTGACACTTAAGGTAACAGCCTAGATGGACACAGTGGAAAATCATTTCACTGGCCAAAATAACACCTTGATAGTCTGACATCAGATTCCTAAGTGGTATGTGTCATGCAGCATTCAGAGATTTGAAGAGGAATTAATGGCCAAGTCAAGAGAGTTAGTAGTTGATCATAAAATCTGTGTGTATAGAAAGATAAACTAAAAGATGTTTCTTTATCCACAATCCAAACATAGCACAAATATGAGGAAATACTCCATCAATAAATGGAAACAGCATATGAAGATATATTCAGATATTTCTGGGTAATAGAACTTTCCTACAGTCCTACCAGTACACACACCTGCATTATAAGAAATAGCCCTTTGCAGCTCTGAGGTGAGTTATGTCCTGGTGCACCCAAACCAGCAAAAGGCACCTCTCATTGCCACTCTGAGTAAGTGCTTGTGCACAGCTGCAAATCTGTTTTCTTATTCTTTCTTTTACAGTCAAGTAAGTTCTGCAGTGACAAGAAAGAGGCCAATTTTGGTTAAAAGCATATCTAGTTCAACAGAATATCTGGCAAAAAGGGAGAAAGGAAATTATACAATTGAGAGTAATCAGAAAATTCTTTTGATGGGTGATTACCATCAAATTGTAATGATTCTACATGGATCCACAGAGCTTAGTATCAGCCCAGCTGCAATTTGACATTTTTATAAGATGATCGTTCTGCATAAAAGAGCAGCTTATGAATAGCATGATTTTTTGTAGTATGCTGAAGAAGAGGGAGGATTGAAAAGACCAGGTATTTTCAGTCAGTGAATACAATGGGTCTCCAGCTCAGCCAGAGCTGTCAACTGAAATTATACCATTTTTCCTTTAGAGTGAGCATGTCAGGTTATGCCACTGGCTGCAGTTTCTAAAGCTAGGATTCATTAGTATATCAATTACTAACCTTGAACAAGGTAACCCTTTAACCACAGAAAAGCCATCTGTGGTGTAAATGGGTTAAACAAAATCTCTCTCTGCCCACTGTGTTCGAGTAGGGCTGATACTTCCCTTCTGGCATAGTCTCTGCCCAGAATTTTTCAATCAGACACTGAATTGCAACAAATCGTGCATCAGTCTCTTTCGGTCTTTAGTGAAGTCACCTTCCTGACATGTCTGAAACTGGGATATTGATCTGGTTTCTGACATGCCCTGATGCAGCTACAGATTCTTGCTGCTCCTATCACCCCACCCTTCCTCTCCCTATATCCACCTCTCTTAAGTTGTTTTCTGGGAAAATGAAGTTCTCCTGTCCCTCTGAAATGCCTCCTTCACTCTGTGTGCAGCTGCTAGGGTAAGGCACGTGGGAAATACTTTGTGCTAAACTATGGCAAATAGCATGAAGTCCTCTCTCACATGTCCAAACTAAAGAACCTTAATATAAAGATTTAGTTGTGTATATGTGAGGTTTCATACTCTATATATTTAAGGAGAGAAAACAACAATTTCAAAATTACATCTCAAAAAGTGGTGACTATGCAAAAAAATCGTGGTGTTAGAGTTAGAAAGCATCTCAATATGCATTCCAGCCCACATTAATAGCTTGTGAAACTTTAAAGAAAGAAATCATTAGTGAAATGAATTTTCTATGTTTTTGACATTAATAGGACTGAAACGGGACTACTACCATCACTTCTTTCTGATACTCCCTTCTAAAAAAGTTTAAAACTTATGAAGCTCATAAATCAGCAGCCATGCATATAATTGGAAAGCTGGTAGAAGTCACTCCATCAATACATTCAGGATGGGGTTCAATCACCATGTGGGGTGCCTGAAATTAAGATGTCAGTTTGTGGCTGTCTCCCTAAAAACCCTTTATGCTGCAGCCATTTGGAGATTCCCCAAACTGCTTGTGTCTCAGCAAAGGTGGCTGAGGTGTCCAGGGTCCCTTCATTCTGCTGGAGAAAGAAGGGCACAATAAAAGTAAGTAGACAAAAGCTTAATTGAGGCAAATTAAATTGACAAATGATATAGACCTTTTTGGTGAATGTGATTAACCATTAAGCAACAGGTGTAAATCAAAACAGCAAAGCTCGTGTCAGATATTTTATATTTTGGTCACTTCAAATCAAGACTGGATTTTACCAAACAGAAACTTTGGAATAATTTTAGATGGCTGCAGTCAAGTGTAGCTTTAGTTTTGACAGGGTATTTGCTGGAGAAGTATCATTTTTACAAAAAAAATAGAAAAACAAGAGAGGCAAATTAGGGGACAAGAGAAAAACATATTTTCGCATTCTAATTGTGTATTTTTCTCTATATTAGGGTCCCAGTTCCTCAACTCAGAAATGTATTTAACCCTCACATGGGGGATACATGGAAATTTGCTGTGAGAGAACAATATGATGGCATTATGGACAATGAAGACAATTGTAATTGTTGAACTTAGTTTTATTTTTTTCTCTCCTAGTTTGCTTTGTGTATTTCTCTCTTACATTCCATTATATTAACTTTGTTGCTGCTCTCTTTGTGATTCCTGGATAAGCTTTAGTCACTGGCAAAAGTGCTCAATGAGCACTTGGCATTTCCTCTGTGCTCATCACTGTTTATGATCCTTTCTCCTCTCTTCTTCAAAAATTCTTGTTTTATTCACAGATGTGGAAAAGGATGGAAAGGAAACCGTTGCCACATAAGTGCTAAGCCTCTTCAGCCTCCAACTTCAAATTTCCAACAAAATGGTAGGTCTGTAAAAAGAAAGTAATGTCTTTCAATTCATTCTTTGAGTCTTTCATTTTACTTATTTCTTTCTTTGATTGCTCTGATTTTGCAGATATTTGGATTGGATTGGGTATCGGTTTCTTACTGATTAAAATTACAGCCGCTGCCTTGTATTTTCTTTTGAAGAAGAAAGTGCCAGAAGTGTAAGTGAAACTTTTCTTTTGCATATAGCAGACAAAAATGTGGCAAAGAACAATGGCCAACTGCCCAGGCTCATTGGTTTCAACTTATAAATCTCCCCACAGTGTCTTCATATGCAACACTAAGCAGAAAATGTAACTTTGCAACAAAAGCTAACCTTAGTGAACTCCAGTCTGGAAACAATGAGCAATAGCTGGATTGCCTAGAATGTTTTGATTGTGGCATTTTATGAGTATTCTTAAATTATAAAATTCAGAGTTTTTAGGATATGCCTTCAGCCTACAATTCACTATTTCACAGATATATTTACAAGTACTTCCTGACATCCCTCTGATAATCCCTGCTTTTTCTCTCCTCCCTAATTTAAGATCTTTTCTTCTGTTTATTTTACTCTAATTTCTGTATTGCTTCTCTGCCTATCTCTCAACTTATCCTGCTAGATCCTTCTCTGTCAGCAAGTACCCAGCACTGTCCCTTCCTCCTTTTCAGCAATTCCTGTTGCACATTTCCTTGTCCATTTTTCTGTTGTTAGATTTTCCTCACCCTTCATTTTCTTCTCCAGAATTCATCTTCAAAGCTGTCTCTTTTCCTTTAAACTTGTTCTCTGCTACAGACTTTCCTCTCTTTGGGGATGTTGTTATCTCCCCAAGTATCCTCTAAACTGTGCAGACTCCTGTCCTGACATTATTGCTGCTGACATGTCTCCTGTCTGCAAGCTCCCCTGACAGGTAGAGCTGTCTGTGGACACAGAGGCAAAATGTTGAAGCAGAAAACTTTATTGGTTGTGCTTCTGTTAATTGAGTGCATAGCTTCACCTTCATTACTTGCATCTCCTTCCTCTTCTTAAAAGCAGGAATAACATTTCCTTATCTGATTTCATGGGGCTTTAAGATTTAATTCATTCACATTAATACAACCTGCTGAAGCACACATATGGAAAAGCACTTCAGAAGTGCAAGGTTACTTGTATTATAAGAGCTGCTGGATTTTTGCTTTTATGATTTCAACAGTTATCTTTAAAAAAAAGAGTTTAATTTCTCAAAACATGTTTGATGCTATTTTAATTTAAAAAATATTGTTGTTTCTTAAACTACTTCTGTGCTCCCACTCAACACTCCCTCCTACCTTTTTCTTTCATAAATGTCTACTTAAAGGTTACTGCACCGTCATTCATACTCTTTTACTCATATATCTGTATTTAAGGAATATTTTTTATTTTCTTGTAATTATATATATTTGAAAAAGTAAGTTTTTTATAACCTGTTGCGATATGATGTTAAGAAATATTAGGTATAAAATAGGGATGAATGAGGATCTTCTTAGTATGGCTCTAAGAATAAACTACAGCCCTAATATGCAGAGACTCAGTGCTGTGAAAGAGAGGATTAGACAAGCTTACAAAACAAAGCTTATTCTGGTTTTGATTCTTTTCATTAAAGCTTCCAGAAAGGTAAGGTTTGATGATGGAAATTTTTGTGGCTACAAATTTTGGCTATTAGAAACTGAGCTCGTCAAATCATTTTGCCCACACTACAAATGAAAATTTGTATTTTCCTTGGTTTTAGTCACAGTCAACTTAACATGTAAGTTAAAATGCTTTTATTTAATGCTTTTATGTAATACTTTCCTTGCTACAAAATAATCAAGCTAATAAATGGCAATTTGTTTGAAATTTTGAGAACATGAAATCTGAAACTTTGAATTTGAGAAGATAGTTCATCCAGGCTCTTCCTCTTCAACTACCTAGTGCCTACCATGATTTGGTATACAAAAATCACAGCTGGAGACATAGTAGTAAATTAAGGCAAGTTATTCCTGAACTGCTTAATCAGTAATTAGAAGTGACTAGTCAAAATGCAGCCAATGTTAATGTACTGAAGTTTGGATCCTTAGGATAAGTCTTTACAATAAGAAGTGACTTGTGTTTTGCATAAGTCTGTAAAATGTACAATGTGACAGCACCACACAGAGGCATGAGACTTTACTCCTGATTTTTTTTTTTAAGGCATTTGATGAATGAGAGGAATTGCACATAAATGATACTTTCCTAAAGTTACTTTTCACTTGTGTCTGCTTTTAGCCCTCCTGAGCCATGTTATATTCTTAAAGTCATTAGGCACTAGAGTCACTCTAGGGAAGCTTTCACATGCTTGAGGCCTTATTTATTATCTTTTGATAAGTATTTGCTAGGTATTTTTATGTAATTTCTGCCAGTGTCCCGTTGCTTTACTGTGTAGACCAACCCATGCAGGCGCTGGCAGACAGTTCTCTAGGGGCACATTAAGAGCTGTAGGTGTCAGCTCCCATCACATCTTAAAAAGGTGTGCAGGTCCATCTAAGTCTCAGTGAAAACAGTACAGGAATGTGCACAAGAGCTGGAGAAGCTTAAGAGTCCAACAGAACTCTTTTTTTTCCATCAGAAAAACAGGTAGGAGGTAGTAGGGATAGGCTGTGCAATTGCTAGCTAGAAATTTGTTACTAACAGCAGTGAGAATCTAAGTCACATTTGTCCCTCTTCTCTGTGTGCCTTAACCCTTCCTTTCAACCCAGAATGGATGCCCCACTTCCCCTTTGCTCTCTCCTTCTCCTTCTCCTTTGCAGAATTTAATTTCTGATCTGCAGGCTTTAAACTTTCCTGTTACTGAGTGGGAGTTACTGGAAGTCATCGTGTAAGTTTCCTTCCTAAAGGACAAAAGCAGCCTTACATGGCTTGGCAGCAGCACACTTTATTACCATGACAGCGTTCGGATATACCAGATACTCCCCAGTCCTCAGCTGGGGATATGTGAAACTTTTGTATGGAAACTCCAAACTGGGTAAGCCTGTGAGTTTCTCTCATTCCTCTTTGCACTATAGACACGATTTCCCCTAATCCAGAAGGGAAGGCTTCCAGTTGCTCCACTCTATTAGTGACATCTGTCCTTGTTGTCCAAATAGAAGCAAAGCTTCATTTTAGCTTCCGTTTTGTTGCAGCTGCCTTCTAATGCTTCATTGTAATTTGAAATGTGAGAGTATGAAAAGTAAGTGATTTTCTGTTCAGCTAAGCTACAACTTTTTGCTATTGCCTCCAAAGCAGTCAACTGGATCATTTAAATTTGTTTCTTTCCTGTTTTTGAACTGTTTCATCCACTACAAGGCCAGTGTACCACATCTGTTATCAGTCCTGTCAATCTTAATGAACACAAAACATTAAATTTTCCAAAGCATATAACGTCTTGCCACAAAAGCAAAAGAGTGAAAAACTGAGATGTTCTAAGAAAGCATTTTAAAATGATAGAAAATCATGAGAAGAAAGGGCCCACAGAGGCCATTTTTCATCCTGTCACATCATAGACTCAATTGTATCACTTCTGAGTTCTCATTTAAAAACCTCTAGCAACATGAATTTGATGGCATCCTTGGGCTGTATTGGTACCTTGGGTAGAAAGAAGTTTGCTGTTAGAAAGTTATTTTCTAACTGCTGATATGTCTGTTTATCATTTAAGTTCCTTCATATTCACAATGGACAGTAACAGATCATTCCCTTTCTCCTTGCAGAAAGCTTTTTCTCTTCTTGAAGGCAGTTCTCTTGCCTCCTTACAGCTTGCTTTCTTCAGGCTAAACAAGCTCAGTGCTTTTGCCTTTCTCCATAGTTAAGGTTTACTTATAATTATGATGATTCCCAGTTTCTGTTGCCAGACTTTCTGCAATTAGACCATACTCTTCTGGAGGTCTGCTGTGGAGGAACGGGTGGTGTATTCCAAGGGAAGCTCTCCAAACAGACCTGAAGGGCTGCCAGAGGTCACTGCTGGCCGTTCCTCTGTTCCTATATCCCAAAGAGATAAACAGAATGACAGTATAATGACATTTATTGAATCGTTTTCAGCTTGTGAACTGAAACAGAGACAGATACAGTTCATGTATAATGGGAGAAAAATCTGCAGTTTTATGGGAAAAAGTAAACCAAAATTTGGAAGCATCAGCCATAACTGTTGTTTGGGAATTGTTGTATTAGTCTAATGCTGCTATCCAAATCCATTCGTTCTTCTGTAGAATATTTTTGTTCTGAAGGATGAGTCAGATGTATTCAGTTTTGCTGAAATGTACATTTGATGACCACCCCTCATAGGAACGATTGCATAGAAACAAGAGGAAACACACTGAAACAGAGCCAATCTCTGTAGTCTGTAGCCTTCAAGTTCACTAAAATGAAAGTTGCAAAGGACTGATTTAAAAAAATAAATTCCCTAAAGTGACTCAGAAGGCACAAAATACAGACTTAGGAAACCCAGACAACATATTAACAGTCAAATCAAACATCCAAGTGACTTGTACATTATTTTAGATGCAGCTTTTGGAAAGTCTTCTCTCCTTGCATCTGGGCTCCTATTTCTTTCATTGGATGTGCAAAATATAGCCTATTTCAGCAAACCTAAATTTAGTTGAAAAGATTTTAAATATGCTTTGGAAATTAAGATCTTGAGTTTAAGTTTCTGTTAAGAACTGAAGCTTTTGCACACCTATAAAAATTCTTTTAAGGGATTATTTTAATTAGTAACTTAATTTTAATTAAATCTTTGGTCCACTATGATTTTGTCATTGTTGTTATGGATCAGATACTAAGCATTCCTCCAGTACTGTATTTCCTAAAAATCTGTGTTCTGTATGAATGACTTGTTTTTTTTCTCTTTGAAAGATATATTTAAAAGTACAAAATTATGAGCTCTTGCATCCAAAAAAATGAAATCTAGGTACTTTAATTTTCCATTAACAAGAATGATGTTACTCAGCAGTCTGTTTATACACTAGTGAGTATTTCATGGAGCATATAATTCCTCCTGCCTTTGTGAAATTGTAGTGGAGAAACCTCTGACGAGGCAGTAGTTTTTGCTACTAAAGAATGCAGATGACCTTAGCAAAACTATGCCCCATGTTACCTCAGCCTAAGATGATTAATTCTCTCCTTTCCTATTGTGGTATTTCTGGTTATGTTAGAAAACCCAGTTCTGTCTAAACTACCTTACACACATATTTGA